TGCTTTTTGTAATATGTTTTGATTATCTAATAGATCTTCGTTTAACCTCCATCCGAAACTGGAGTTTTTTTCTTTTTGCATTTCTAAAGTTAATGAATTATGATCAGATAATGTTCTTGGCAAAATCAGTGATTTTTAAAATTCTTATTTCCAATTCTTTATAGACCCATATCACATTTATTCTTGCAGTACTTTGCAACTCTGTAAGGAGTAAACCGCAGTGCCCAGAATTCTTTGAGAGGAAGAATGCATTTCCGCTGGTGTGGGTTAAAGCCCATTCAAAGCACATTCTCCATCGCCCCCAAAAAGAATTCTGGGCACTCCAAGCCACATTTAAAGCACATGCATTTCCTCCAAAGAATCCTTGGAGCTGTGGTTTGTTAAGGATGCTGGGAACTGTAGCTCTGTAATGGGGGAAAACTGCAGTTCCCAGGATTTAAATGTGGGCTTTAAATGCGCATTGGATGTGGTTTAAAGATGTGGTGTGGATCTGCCCTAAGTTGTTTGCTTGTTTGTTTGTTGTTGTTGTTTAGTCGTTTAGTCCTGTCGGACTCTTCGTGACCCCCTGGACCAGAGCACGCCAGGCACTCCTGTCTTCCACTGCCTCCTGCAGTTTGGTCAAACTCATGCTGGTAGCTTCGAGAACACTGTCCAACCATCTCGTCCTCTGTCATCCCCTTCTCCTTGTGCCCTCCATCTTTCCCAACATCAGGGTCTTTTCCAGGGAGTCTTCTCTTCTCATGAGGTGGCCAAAGTATTGGAGTCTCGGCTTCACGACCTGTCCTTCCAGTGAGCACTCAGGGCTGATTTCCTTAAGAATGGATAGGTTTGGTCTTCTTGCAGTCCATGGGACTCTCAGGATGTTCGTTCTGGCATTAATGGGCATCAACACCCATTCCACTTGCTTCAAAATGTGACAATCCATCCCTGTGGGGGGCGAGGAGTGGGGGCTCTGGACTTCTCCCCCAATGACCTTCCTCCATAACACCTTTGTTCAGAAGCTGGAATTAGGAGACATGGAGCCTCTGGGTTAGGCAGTTGTTCTTCCATGGGAGCAGATATTCTCCACTCCCACTCACTGAGAAAGGCAGATTGCATCGCTTCCTAGTGGTGAGTGTATTGCAGGGGGTTGGTCTAGATGACCTTTGGGGTCCCCTTTCAACTCTATGGTCCTATGGATAACCCCTTACTAGGCGAATGACCTGTCAGAGGGCTGACAGGATACTTCATAGGTGAAGGTTACAGAGGTGGATCACAACCACAACCACCTTGCAGTGTACTAGCCCTCCTTTCCCATAGGGATCCGGAGAGGGTCCAAGACGCAAATTACACCAGATTCACTGAAAAGGTGACCTGGGACTGAGATGAGAATGGCTACTCTTGTTTCTGTGAACAGTTCTATGGTAAGCAGAAATCCCACAGGCCATTGCGTTTCTGCACATCCGAGCTGGGAAAGGCTTTGTCTGTTGAACATCTGCCTGTTGTCAGCTTTCGAAAGCATAGGAGATAAGGGAGACTGTAGGCCATCTATACGTGTAAAGGTAAAGGGACCCCTGACCATTAGGTCCAGTAGTGGCCGACTCTGGGGTTGCGGTGCTCATCTCGCTTTATTGGCCGAGGGAGCCGGCGAACCAGAGCAGTGCACAGAAACGCTGTTTACTTTCCCGCTGGAGTGGTACCTATTTATCTACTTGAACTTTGACGTGCTTTCGAACTGCTAGGTTGGCAGGATCAGGGACCGAGCAACGGGAGCTCACCCTGTCACGGGGATTCGAACCGCCGACCTTCTGATCCGCAAGTCCTAGGCTCTGTGGTTTAACCCACAGCGCCACCCGCGTCCATATCTATACTTGTACGGAACGCAAATAAAACGAAAGCTGGATAGGTTGAACAGTTGAATATATATAACACCTGCTTTTAAAATTTTGCTGGGCAATCAACCCAAGTTGCAAAGGGTTTCCCTAAACGGTTTTTTTGTGATAATCCTGGCTTTAAAACGCATTCAGGTGCATCCCTGCTCCCCAAAGAATCCTGGGAACTGTAGTTCGCGCTGGGAATCTTAGCTTGTGAGGAGTGAACTACAGGATGAGTGTGCGCTTTAAAGGTACGGTCTATAAAGCGCATCTAAGACCCCAAACGGCTTCCACCTGCTCCTTCCTTCCAGCTCAGCAGAAGATGGAGGAATGAAAAAGATGGACCCCTGGGTCAAAAGGGGCCGATGGCCTGAATCCCGAGCCCCCAGCTTTAGAAATTAACCCTTCCCCCTCCCCCACCGCCCGCCCAATTGCGCTTTTCAGTCCAGATGATCGGGGAGTGGCGACGACGTGCGTGACCCCATCGGGGCATCTAAGAACAGGATCTAAGAACAGGAGGAGCCCAGTCTTGGCTGGCGTCCAAGCAGAGAGCCCAACGCCCGACGGAGGCAGTGGGAAGCCCTCCCAGGTCCACGGGGAGGCCGTCGGTTCACCAGGGGGTTAGGCGCCTCCTCCTTCCTCCTCGACCTCCTTTGTGTGCTCCCTTTGGGGACCCTGCTTCCTTCCTCCCGGAGGACGTGCCCGGCTCTCTTCCCCTCCTTTGCGCTCCCCGCCCTTCTCACGCCAGCGCGGCCTTGTTTGTTTTTCCAGTTTCCCCCCCGACGGCCCAAAAGGAGAAAACAAGCGCGGTGGTGGCGTCACCGGCCGGCCACCTCCTCCTGCTGCCCTCGGCCCGCTCTGCGAGGGCAGCGAGAGAGAGAGAGCGCCGTCCAGGGATTGTTTGGGGAGGATGGAGGCCACGCTGCCCGCCCAAGTTCATCTAAAAGTAGACGGGCTCGACCTTTGAAGAGGGGGCAAAATAACAAGCAGAGTTCATGACCAAGCCAGGCGGTCATCTCTCACGTCTCCTCCCGGGTCTTGGGTCCTTCTCTGGCTTTCTTTAGATCGGCGGCGCTAAGATGAATTGTTTGGCTCAACTTCCAATTCACCCCCCCTCCTGTTCTTAGATGCCCCCACCCCACCCACCCCCGACGGAAAGGGACGCCGGCAGCGGGAAAGGACAGCTCAAGAGTTCAGTTCAGTACGTCAATCTTCAGGAGATCAAACGCCAGAGGCAAGACGGCCACTCGCCAGCAAATCCCCCCCCTCACCCACACACCCACACCAGCACGGGTGCCAACTTGAATAAAATAGTGGGGGGTGGGCGGGCTGGTAAGCCCTGCCCTGCACAATTGATCACATGATGCAGTGCACGCACACCATTTGAATGGCAATGCCCATCAACTTTTTTTGGGGGGTGGCCCCTTCAAATATTTTATTGGGGGGAAATCTAAGCCCCCTAGGAGTTGGCTCCTAGGGCTGCCAGCCAGGGTGACTGTTCTCTACCTTTGCTGTCCATGGCATCATTTACTCATTCATTCATTCATTCGTTCATTCATTTCATTTCATCATTCATTTCATTCATTTCATTTCATTTCATTTCCCATTCTATCCCCACTCTCCTTTGTTTTTTAAGCAGAGGTCGAATGGCTATCTGTCATATATGATCTAGCTGAGATGCCTGCATTGCAGAGTCATTTAGTCCAACATCGCCTTTCTCCCAAGGAGCAGGCGTCTTTTAATTTCGTGACTGCTGTCACCATCTGCAGTGATCATGGAGCCCAAGAAAGTAAAATCTCTCACTGCCTCCATTTCTTCCCCTTCTATTTGCCAGGAGGTGATGGGACCAGTGGCCATGATCTTCGTTTTTTTGATGTTGAGCTTCAGACCATATTTTGCGCTCTCCTCTTTCACCCTCATTAAAAGGTTCTTTAATTCCTCCTCACTTTCTGCCATCAAGGTTGTGTCATCTGCATATCTGAGGTTGTTGATATTTCTTCCGGCGATCTTAATTCCGGCTTGGGATTCATCCAGCCCAGCCTTTTGCATGATGAATTCTGCATATAAGTTAAATAAGCAGGGGGACAATATACAGCCTTGTCGTACTCCTTTCCCAATTTTGAACCAATCAGTTGTTCCATATCCAGTTCTAACTGTAGCTTCTTGTCCCACATAGAGATTTCTCAGCAGACAGATGAGGTGATCAGGCACTCCCATTTCTTTAAGAACTTGCCATAGTTTGCTGTGGTCAACACAGTCAAAGGCTTTTGCATAGTCATGAAGCAGAAGTAGATTCTTTCTGGAACTCTCTAGCTTTCCATAGTCCAGCTCTTAAGTTTCTACAATTCTGTCAGGAGCTCAAGGTGCTTATCTGACTCTCCCCACTTTATGCTATCAACAACCCTGTGAAGTAGGTTAGGCTGATAGACTGTGATTGGCTCAAAGTCACCCAGTAGATTCATGGCTGAGTGGGGGACTAGAAACTGCCCCCCCTCCAGCCCCCCTCCCACATCTTGGGCCAACACTCTAACCATCACAAGACCTGGCTTTCAGTGGGTCCCTGAATCACAAGTGGGGACAGCACTGTTGTGCTCAAGTCCTGCTTTGGGGCACATGACCTGGTTGGCCAATGTGAGAACAGGATTCTGGACAAGAGGGTGCCATTGGACTGATCCAGCAGGACCGTTTCGTTCCTTTGTTCTTCCTTCCTTCTTTCCTGACACAAGAAAAATAATAATTATCTCCACCCCATTCAGACACAGTCCTACCATCATCTAGGAGGCAGTCCAGGCCTGAAATAGATTTGCCAGTTACAAAAATATGAACAGTTTTTATTTCGTTTCTTCTTTTTTTGAAAGGGGGGGGGATATATTCCCAGAAACAACAAACAGATAGTCCTGCCAGTTCCAGGGCTGCTACCATGTTCATCTTCTCTCTTTATAGCAGCTCCTCTCCACACCCAAAGGATGTTTACCCAGGAATAAATCCCACTGAGTTCAAGGGGACTCCCTTGTAAATGTGGAAGTCTATACAAACTCCCGCAGAAGCAAAGCCTTGTTGGAGACAATGTGACTTTTGAATAAAGGTGTTTAGGGTTGTCGTGAACAAGGCTATATTATATTGTTATTTTATTTCTTCATCTTTCAGGAAGGTAGAACTGGAGTTGTCGTTTTAACATTGCAGCATGGCGAATACTTTTCGTCAACAGCCTTTAGGTATCTTTTTGATGTATTTTGAATTTTGCATTGTGAGCTGATTTGAGGCATTTTATGCCGTAAGTGAGGGACGTGAGTGGTGCTGTGGGTTAAACCACAGAGCCTAGGACTTGCCGATCAGAAGGTCAGCAGTTCGAATCCCCATGACGGGGTGAGCTCCCGTTACCGGGCCCTGCTCCTGCCAACCTAGCAGTTCGAAAGCACGTCAAAGTGCAAGTAGATAAACAGGTACCGCTCTGCCGGGAAGGTAAACTGCGTTTCCGTGCGCTGCTCTGGTTCACCAGAAGCGGCTTAGTCATGCTGGCCACATGACCCAGAAGCTGTACGCCGGCTCCCTCAGCCAGTAAAGCGAGATGAGCACCGCAACCCGAGAGTCAGCCATGACTGGACCTAATGGTCAGGGGTCTCTTTACCTTTACCTTGATGCCACAAGTGACAAATAAATGCAGAAAGTAATAAATATTATTTAGGCTTTCTTTAAATAAGCAGCATATTAATAGGATGGCTCTTTGAGGGCAGGGAAAGATAATGCTATTTCATTTTCTCCATTCAAAATCCCTTCCTCTTTATTGACTGTAGGAACTGAGATCTGTCTCCCCAGCCTTTAGCCCCACTTTACTTATACCTCTTTGGGGTTTGGTGATGGTCAAGCTTCATTCCATGTGCTTCTGGTATGTCCCTGCCCTTAATCCATGGAGATGATAATTTCTAAATGACTCAAGTTTCATCAAGTTTGAGGTCTGGGAAGCAACTGAACCTCTCCTGCCTGGACGTTTAGAGGCAGATAGGACCACTTGCCTTTCCTCCATGGAAGCTTCAGATTGCAATTGCTGGTGTTGTTGCCCTCAGGTCTTCCTTGCAAGCTTCCCCAAAACGTCTGATTTACTATGTTGAGAACAGGAAGCTGAACTAGATGGGCCTTTGGCCTGATTCAGCTTGCCAGGTAACATCTTTATTCATTTTTAGGTACCAGGCAAAAACTCACCTCCCTCAGGCTTTTGGCCCTTAATCTGAAGAGTTTCAAGTCCTTGTGGCCTTTTTCAGTAGATCAGGTTCTGTAGAAACTGCTTTTTATATGTATAGATGTGATTTTAAAGGGGTTTGTCTGTTTTAATTGGTTTTGTGTTTATACTGTGTGGTAAGTGATTTTGGGTCACTTTTGTGAGTCATGCAAAATGCTGCTGCTGCTGATAGCAATAAGAATAACAAAAATATCTTACTCTGTACACTTGTAATGATGTACTTTTTATCTTTCAATAATGATAACAACAACAACAACAACAACAACAACAACAACAACAACAACGGCATAGAGTAGTTTCCAGGAGTTCAGATTCCTCCCCAAATCTAATTACTGCCAGCAGAGAAGTGTCCATATTTGGACATGGAAAAACACGCACAGCCTAAACAAATGAACCAGCCTCAAAGGTAACCTAATCCAATCTCTTGTTGACGCAGAATATCTAGTGCTATGGTATCTGGATAGGTCTGTTCCACCATTGAACAGCTCACAATGTCAGCAATTTCTCCCTATTACTTAGGCTAAAACCCTTTTCCTTGTCATTTGAACCCATTGGTTTGGTGTCCTACTCTCGAGAGCAACAGAGAACAAATATGCACTATCATCTATGAGGCAGCATTTCAAACAGTTGAAGATGGCGGTCATGTCACCTCTGAGTTGTCTCTTCCCCAGGTTAAGCATTTCCAGCTCATTCAACCTCTATTCAGAGGACTTGGTTTTCAGGCACTTCACCATCTTTTGCTCTCTGCATAGCCAGGCTGGGTCAGGTAAGGTTATCTAATCAGCTTCATAATTAGGTGGGCCCCTGAAGCCCAGATTTCCAGTCCAGACCCAACACTAGCCATTATACCACACAGGGCATGTCCTTAGTATCAGATGCTGCTGTAACAAGTGGATGGGGATGTCCCTGTAGGCCACACTGGATCTGCAAGCACTGATATATTCTGTTGTATCCTACTAAGTCTTGGGATTCAACTCAGCTTGCACTGCAAACGGGAAGGGTATCTAGACCTTCAACCTTCCTAGACTGTCATTTTTGTGCTGATGTGTTAGAGTGATACTCTAAGGTTGCTGACCTCATTTCCTACTTCCTGCTTCTTCATCCTCATCTTGGAAGAGGAGACATCTTTTTGGGGAATCTCGTGCTTCTGACAAAGTGCAAGTATGGCTCTTTGTATCTCCACCTGAGGAACTTTCCTATCAAGTATGTATTTCCTTTAATAAACTTAGCTCTCTTATTTTTACTACGCTCCGAGTCTCAGTGTGATTATCTGAAGGATAAAGTGTGCTCCTCCACCACATATTCTCTGTTCCATTAAGCTTCCAAGTTAACTCCAAACACCACCACCAGGTCCTGCACAGAGTAGACCCATTGAAATTAATGGGCCTAAGTTCATCGTGTCCACTGATTCCAATGGGTCCATTATGAGCAACACTAACATTGGATACAACCCAGTGTGAGCTGCAAATCAGAAAACTTAGGTTTGAAACCCTTTGTGCATTTATCTGGGGGTAAGCCCCATTAAACAGGGACGCGGGTGGCACTGTGGGTTAAACCACAGAGCCTAGGATTGCTGATCAGATGGTCGGTGGTTCGAATCCCCGCGATGGGGTGAGCTGCTATTGCTCTGTCCCAGCTCCTGCCAACCTAGCAGTTTGAAAGCATGTCAAAGTACAAGTAGATAAATAGGTACCACTCTGGTGGGAAGGTAAATGGCGTTTCCCCATGCTGCTCTGGTTCGCCAGAAGCGGCTTAGTCATGCTGGCCACATGACCTGGAAGCTGTACGCCGGCTCCTCAGCCAATAAAGTGAGATGAGCGCCGCAACCCCAGAGTCGGTCACGACTGGACCAAATGGTCAGGGGTCCCTTTACCTTTATCTTTACCTTTACCTTTAAGCCCCATTGAACACAGTGGGACTTCATCATCATCCTACCCAACCAACTGCAATAAGGGGATGAGGATTTTGCCCTCTAATTACAAGGAGGATGTTAGAATGTCTGAGATACATGCAATACCTCGAATACCTTGATGTGCCAGATAAACAGCAAGTGCAATAGTTTTCAGAGGAGGTAGTGCTGCTGATATCCCACATTGCCTTTTTGGAGAGGTACAAATACATGCATTATCCACAGCCCAATTAAGCAAAAGTACTTGGATTAAAGAAGATTAGTATACCCTGATCCCAGGCAGCTTGTTAACTTAGTTTATCCCTTAGGGTTTTCCCAACTTACCTTACGCAATTTTATACAGGTTTTCGGCTGGGAAAAACTCCTGCCACAGCAAAACAGGAGTCTGTATGGCACTTTCCCCTCCTTCTTGCTCCAGATGTCATGTGGCTCCACACACTGCAGGAAGCGGAGCGGTACAAAGGAACGACTTGATGGCCCTACTATTTGACAGAGTAAGACAACTGCCTATGTACCCGCTAAACTTGTCTGCTGGCCTCAGGTAGGGGGGAAGACATGGCCAGGCATGGTCTCCCTGCTTTCCACCCCACCAGTCCCAATAGGCCCCAGCCACCACCAACGCTACCTCATTACCAACTGCCAAGTCAGCCACCTTCTGTGCATGGAATTTGGAGAGGAGGAGCCATCTTGTCCTTTGCCTCAGGTGGCAAAATGCCTTGGCCACCCGCCACAAACCTCCCTTATCATTGCACATTATCTGATTGCAGCCGCATCTTAATTTCTATTTTCTTCCCACATTGTTGGAACATATTTTCCTGTCAGCCAGATAACTCCCAAATAGCACACATCACCTGAGGAAAACACGTTAACAACCTCCATTAAGGCCAGCCTTGTTTTAGATCTTGAAGTTTTCAACAGTTTTACATGTTACAAGACAGTCCTTTGGAAATGCCCAAGCTACATACACACACACACACACACACACACACACACACACCATGAGCCCTAGAAATGTGCCTTTAGCCAATGCCTGCACAATATGTACTGGTTGTATCTGAGTTATTATTAACATTTCCCTCCCTTTGCACCTAATCCCTTATGCCTTTTATTATAATCCCACACATTACAGTTAATCTGTAATGATACTGCTTCAGAGGGACCTGTTGCTCACAGTGATGGTAATTTGTAACCTTGGTAACAATTTAAATAATGAATCTAACAATGATGTCTACCGTATTTCTACAGTAGGAGGAGCCTAAGAATTATTGCTTCTGTGAGAGAATGAATTTAAAGAAAACATCAAAGGCGGATTCGACATTCTGAGTAGCTAGAATTTCATCATTTTTATTGGTTTTTCCCCCAGGATTGACATTGGATTAATGTGTGTTTAGGTGATTGGCTGGCTTCCTTTGAGTAGATTAATATATCCAAGAATATATATATATAACCAACTATATATATATACACATATATCTATAAATTAAAAATTTAATATGTTACAAAAGTATTACTGTATATCGATAAAAGTTAGTGAACTACTATCTTTCTACTATCTTTCTCTCTATAAGTGTGTGTTATCTATCTATCCAAACATTTACTATTTATCTATTTCATAAAATCTATATACCACTTGATTGCAGAAAAAACTTTGAAGCAGTTTTGAAAAAACGATAAAACAATAAATTCACGGCTAAAAAATTACAGCTATAATTTGAAACATACAGGAAGAGAAAACCACAATAGACTAAAACAAGTTAAAACCAGTATACCTGAAGGAGCGTCTCCACCCCCATTGTTCTGCCCGGACACTGAGGTCCAGCGCCGAAGGCCTTCTGGTGGTTCCCTCACTGCGAGAAGCCAAGTTACAGGGAACCAGGCAGAGGGCCTTCTCGGTAGTGGCGCCCTGTGGAACGCCCTCCCACCAGATGTCAAAGAGAACAATAACTACCAGACTTTTAGAAAAATATCTGAAGGCAGCCCTGTTTAGGGAAGCTTTTAATGTTTAACAGACTACTGTATTTTAATATTCTGTTGGAAGCCCAGCCAGATGGGTGGGGTATAAATTATTATTATTATTATTATTATTATTATTATTATTATTCTGAACATCTGGGTAGGCTGGGTAGGTATGCAAGTGGCTGATGCCCCTGCTGACTTCACTCAATAACCCCTCTACCCCCACCTCACAATCCAACTCCTTCCCAAAGCCTCCTCCCTTTACTTTGAGCTGAAGGCCCTTCCCTTTACTCCTTGCCCAAGCCCTCCTCCACTTCCTCCTTGCCACAGTTCTGCAGCTTGCCCATACTGCTGTGTTGCCCTCTCGCTCAACCTGCCCTGTTGACACAAGCCTAGTTCACTTACCTTCCCTGCCTGTGCCAGCCCCCCTCTCGTTCAAGTCAACTGCTGCCATAAGACCAGCTTCACCCCATTTTGGAAGCCCAGCCCACCTTGGAAGGCCACAAGCTAACAGGAAGTCAGTCAGGACAGGCACCACTGAACTCCATGCGATGTTCATCCATGTGTCCTTTTCCAGTTCTACTGCATTTCAGTGTGTCTTGTTCAGGATGACTTCCCAGTGGGTGGGACCCATAGCTGATAGCACTGATAATTTTTACCAGGAAATATCCCATGGGAAAACCTGTCCCAGACTAGTCTTTAAGGTGCTTGTTTTGACCTTTAAAGCCCCAGGACCCACGTACCTACGGGACCACCTCTCCTGGTATGCCCCACAGAGGACCTTAAGGACCACAAATGATAACACTTAGGAGGTCCCAAGTCGCAAGGTGGTTAGATTGGTCTCAACTAGGGCCAGGGCCTTTTCAGTACTCGCCCCGACTTGGTGGAACGCTCTGTCACAAGAGACTAGGGCCCTGCAAGACAGTGCTGTTCCGCATGGCCTTTGGTTTGGACTCAGTCTGACCCTTATGTTTTCCCTCCCCTTACGGTTTTGATCCATGGGCTACTTTTAAAATGAGACTGCATTTTAAATTGCATTTTAACCTGTATTATAAATTGTTTTCCCCGCATTATTTTTTTTTTTTGTAATTTTACTGGTGTTAGCCGCCCTGAGCCTGGCCAGGGAGGGCGTAGTATAAATAAAATTTATTATTATTATATTTTGCTAGGAAATTACTACTTCTGGGATTACATGCAGGGGCAGCCCATCTCATTCCGTCACCTGAGGCAAACCAGGGTGTTGCTGTCCCCATTGCTCCTTGCTCCCTCAAAGCCTTGTTCATGTGTAGGGCCATAGCAAACCCCCCCAAAGGCCTTTCTTAGAGAGGAGAGATCCTCAGGAGAACAAGGCTGGCATTGATGGAACAGGCTCAAATGCTTATTATTCAAGGTTGTAAAGAGATAAGCAGACTCAGGAATGCACATTGCCGTGGTGTGGTGAGGCCATTGCAGGAAGGAAGGTGGGGCAAGCCCATGTAAGGGCATAGGAAGTTGCTATAACTTTCGATTTCCCAGAAATCAGGTGGTTTTACAAGAAATCAGGTGGTATTGTATTCTGGAAATGTATAAAAGGGGGGCACACTCTGACTGGGTGTGCAGATTGCAAACTCATTGCTCTGTACCTTTGTTTTTTTTTATATATGATATTTATTAAAGATTTTAAGCACATTGCTCTGTACCTTTGTTTTGCATATGCATTTCAAATAAATCCTGTTAAATCCTGCAAGGTTGGTTGCCACTTCGTGTGAATCTGTGCTCCAAAGACCCAATAGCAGATATGGAAATTGTACAACACACGGGGTTGGCATGGCTATCTCATGCAATTTCATGAGAGTTCAGCGAGATATTGCTGGAAGTTACACCCCCCCCCAACCCCGGTTGTGTGGGTGGGGCACCTGTGGGGACTTTGCCCTGCAGTATTCTGCCGCCTGAGGCAGGCTGCTTTACTCCACCTCATACATGGACCAGCCCTGGAGAGAGAGATATGTAATACCTCCACACGGCTTCAATGAAAATATGTCTCTGCTTGTGGAGATAACTTTGGGAATCTACACCTGAGCATAAAAGGCACAGGAACAGTACAAAAACAGGCACATACTCCCGAACAACTCCCACAGAAGTACCTAATGCTGCTTACTCTTGTTCCTGTGAATGGAGTCTTTGTTTATCTTTACAAAGCCTGTGCATTATTTTAATCAACGGTAATATTTGCAAACTCCCGAGAAGAATGCCATCAAGTTGCATGTTAGGGGAAATACTGGTAAATGCATTATTGTCCCAGGTTCCCTCCCAGAGAATATTTTACCTTTACTTGGGAAATATCCCAGGCTAAGTACTACTTAGGAACCCTGATGAATGGTGCTAACACCAAATCTACCATTAGCCCTTCTGCATGAGCTTTCTCCATTATTAAAGCTAACAAAAAATTGCTCACAAGCTGAAAGCCAAATTAAATGTAATTGCTTTTATTTATCTATTGCTTTTATATCATTAAAATATTTTTAGTTACATTTTATAAAATAGCATCCACTCTGATTATTACCTGCCATATCTGTTGAGCCACTTCCTGTGTATTCAGAACCACAACATTAGCGATTATGTGGGCTGTTAGAGGGGGAGAGGTGTATTTTCTATATTGTATCTGTCAAGATATGTTACATTCCCCATTAACAAAAACATTATTCCTGTTGAAGCAGCTATGAAGCGTATCTTTCATGAGCACTTTATTAATAATCAATAGTTGTCAAAAAATTAGATATACACAGATTTAAGATGGGGGAAAAATCCCAAGGAAACAGAACAGTTGAATTGAGGCAGAACTCTTGTCTTCCCTTCTTTTTTAAAAAATAAAACAAATTTATGGAATGAAAAACTGAGCTATTAAGTGTCTTTAAAGATGGCTTTGTTGATTTAATTATACCGTAGTTATTTTATAAATATGTTTCAAAGGAAGTGTGCCATACTGAATGCCAATGAGGCCTAAAAAATGAAAACACAAAAAGGCAATGCATACAAAATCTTAGTCATTAGTATTCCCGTTTTTATTATTATTATTATTATTACAAACCAATGGATGCTATTAACAGACAAGAATGGCTGGTTAGCTAGCATTACAGTGTTTGGCCATTTAAATTAAAAATACACAGTATGGTTTTTGTTCTGCACCCTGTTCATAGGACACTTTATTCCTCTATTTGGAAAGTGAAACATACACAATCACCATCCAACAAAGAGCACAGCTACCACTAAGCCAAGGATCTGGGCACAATCTGCATACAGAGAGTTCTGATGTACAGGAGGAGGTGCCTCGCTAATGTCAGTGAAGGGAGAGCCATTCATGCAAAGGCTGTATGGACCCTGCCATTGAAACAAATGACTTTACATTGGTACCTCTGGTTGCAAATGGGATCCATTTTGGAGGCACGTTCGCAACATGAAAAGAGCGCAACCTGCAGCGGCATGTCTGCGCACACACAGGTTGTGGTCCACCACTTCTGCGCATGGACATGATGTCATTTTGCGCCACTGCGCATGCGCGAGCATCGAAACCCGGAAGTAACCCTTTCCGGTACTTCCGGGTCGCCGCGGGACATAACCTGAAAGAACGTAACATGAAGCGGACGTAACATGAGGTATGACTGTATAGCTAGGGAAACATGTTCTGCGCATGGCAGATCCCATACAGGTGGCAAATTGATGCTCCCCTTGCTAGACAATATAACAAAAAGTAAATGTTTTATTTATATAATTTGTATATCTTTGGTATGTATACTCATACCTTCGGCTGAGTCATGCATATTAAAAAAACAGCAACCCAGCAAGCATAAAAATAAATGTTAACAAAGTACTTGGAAAGCTCAGTTGGTTAGAGCATGAGTGCTGATAATACCAAGGTTGCAGGTTCGATCCCTGTATGGGGCAGCTGCATATTCCTGCATTGCAGGGGGTTGGACTAGATGATCCTCAGGGTCCCTTCCGACTCTACAGTTCTATGATTATAACTCTTGGCCAAATGGCATGCTGGCACTTTGCCTGCTCCTCTCCCGGTGTCTACTTAGCCTCACGGCAAACTGAAGGCCGCAATTTGCTGCCTTAGAAGAATTAAATCCCACTCAGGTTTTGCAACATCGAATGACTGAGACCTGATTAGGATACTTTTTTCTTTAGTTTTGTGGAATCTTGTGCTCCACACTAGTTGATCTGGACTAAATACAACCCCCCAGATCCCCAGGTCCTATGCTAGAAAAGAGGAAATTGCTGACTTTTTTTAAAAAAAGTTGTCCCTAAGGTCAGCCATATCTGAGGAATGGGAAGTGGCCAATGCAAACCACTTTTTAAAAGAGAATCCAGAGCGGATTTTGAAAATTGCAAGGGTGGTTAGCCTAATGTCTGTTCCAGAAAAATTGATGGAAGGAAATATTAAACATAAAGTAAGGAAGCATATGGAACCAAAGGTCTTGCTGAAGCATAGCCAGATGACCACCACTGAACTCATCGGCCAATAGCCATGCAGACAAAGATTTGTTCTTACAGAAGAGATGAAAGTGTGGAGGGTGTGGTCAGATAAAAATAAAAGCATAAGTATGTTGCACCTCCAACCAGTAGATGGTGCTATACTATTTCCTTCCTGCTCATTTTTTCTGTACGCTGTCGACTTGTTCTGTTCCGAGATAATGTGTGTGCTGCTAGGGCGGCTTAACACAGTGATTTAATAAAGCTATTTCTTTGCGCAAGTATGAATGAAATATAATGTTTTAACCCCACAATGCATTGCAAAGAGGTCTCCTATATTCTCTGATGCCTCTTAAGGCTATGGGGCAGGAGAGAGGTTCGAATGAAAAGCTTCATCTATCAAGTTTAACAACTTCTCTGGTG